TGATTGGCCAACTGGTTGTTATGGCCCATAGGCCCTCCCAGGGTGATTGCTATGCTCTGCACGTAATTGCTGTGCACTTGTCCACAAAGTGCAGTCAGAGCCATAAAGCATAGCACCACCAGCTAACTTCTGATTGGTTCCTTGCCATGAGGCAGGCATCTGACCTCCTAGTGACCAAGGCAAGGCCAGGCAAGCATGTGTTAGGCTGTTATGGCTGCTGAAATAGGGAGCTGGTCCCTTCAATGGCTTTGGTAGAAGCTTTGTCCATGTACTTTTTAATTTATTTTTTTATAAATTTTGTTTGTGAATTGTATAGATGAATATATTCTAGTTATATCATTTCCAGACTTTCAAAAATTTATTGCTTGAGAATTTCATATATGTATACTATAATATAAGATTATATCCACCCACCATTCCCACTTTTTACTCACCCTGGAACCCCACCGCCATACACATACATTCCCCTACCAACTTCATGTTCACTTCTTTCTAGAAAGAATTGCCTACTAATTCTAATTAGTTCTACTCTTATGCTCATGGATATGACAGCATCCACTGGAGCATAGACAAACTACAAGTAGCCACATCAGCAAACAGTAATGGATCTCCTTCAACAGTTACTGATTGTCAATAGCACCTCAATAGACCTTGCCCTGTCTGTGCTAAGATTTTTGCCTGGCTTGATTTTCTGTAGAGGACCACAGCTGCTGAGAGCTCATGAGAGTCATATCCATTCCATTTTCAGAAGACAACATTGCACAGCACTCCTTCCCATCTTCCAGTTTTCCCATTCTTTTCACCTCCTCTTCTGTGATGTTACTTTTTTATCTCCTCTTCTCTGACATACCTTAGCTTGAGAATAACATCTGTTGGGAAGGATGTTAACAATTATGTTGTGCTCAGAGCTGAAAACTCACAACTACGGTTAAACCACTTGTGTGTCTCTGCACTAACCAGCATTACTGGGAAAAGTAACTTCTCTGACCACATTAAGAGTAGCCTAGTTCTGAGGTTGTAACTATAATCTTTAGGAAACTGTTGGAAAATTTATGAAAATAATGATATCATACTCCATTCTAGAGCCTATAACTTCCCCAACAATGGGGTCTTGCACCAAGATTTTAGTACCAGACATGAATTCCCACCTGGAGGAAGAAACCACAAATTAGTAAGAAGGCATGTAGTTACCCCGTAAAAGTAACCAGACAGCACGGGTGCATTACTGCTCCAGTAGGCATACCTTGCATGGCAGATCACTATTGCAGTATGAAGAATTCAGTGATAGTTAAGGCCCTTGGTGTTTTTTCTCCTTTACCAGACTACACAGCTCTTCCTGGAACTATAAAAGTTAACCACCAGGACGGATTTTCCCAGTTGGTTTGAGATTGATTTCTCTATGTCTTATAGGCAAAATGCATGGTATCTTTAGCCTAACAGTCTTTATCATACTCTTATGTTGGTTAATCAAGTAGCCTTTGTTGTTTTTTGAGACCTCTGATGTATCTCTGAAGTAACTTGTAAGGAAGTATCCCATGCCTTATATTATAATTCTCATTTCTTCTGTGAGATGCATTATCTACTCAATCAAATATATCATGTGAACTACACACATGCACCCATACACACACAGGTTAGTTTATGAACTAGTGCATTCCTATAAGGCTTTTCATACATACTTAATTTTGGATATTATTTCCCAAAGCTATAAAAATGACAAGATTACTGTTCTTGCTTTCTAAGCTAATCTAAGTAGTTCGTGTTCCCTCTTAAAACATCACCTTCTATCTTCTTTCTTTCCAACATTAAAAACTCAGTCATCATTCTCCTAAAATTTAGGACATCTACATATTGTTGATGGTCTATTTTCTGTCTATCCATTTACATAAATATACACATGTGCCATGATACATTCTTATGTATGAATACACATATACATACATGTAAACTTATTTACTGTTTCTACATTGGATGCAATTGATATGAATGAAGAAAGGTGAAATATGGCATGAGGGAAAAACACATGTCTCAGCCAGTACAGGCTTCTTGCCACTCAGCCTCATGATCCTACCCAGTTTCACAACCCTCTCTTGACCCCAGGAACCACATGGTAGAAGGAGAAAACGGAGTACCATGGGTTGTTTTCTGACCTTCTCATAAACACTGACCTCTACAGGTGTGCCATGGCACACTTAATTTCTCCCAAGAAATTTACTCCAAATAAATAAACAAAATAAAATTTTTCTAAAGCCTATACATACATTCAGGGAAAAGTGGCAATCTGCTATCCAATAATATCTATTTTGTAACATAATTGGGCAAATAAAACTAAAGCTAAGGATGGAGTGTCAGTCTTTATATGTCAAATTTTCATAATCCTCAGATTTCATTCTAAAGTACAGACTTCTAGAATGAAAAGTGAAATGGGAGGGTTTGGTAGGAACTAACATTTTCCTAGACCTGGAAAAATACAACAATTTTGTATGTGGAAGGGAAGGACTTAGATCTTGGAGTAGGGGAAGATACGAATCACAGAATTCAGTTCATTTTCTATATCTATTCTTCACTTCTATACCAATTGCAAGGGATTTCCCACCTGGTTTCAGCATATAATACTGACTGACAAGATATCCTGAGACTATTTGATCAGTCAAAACAATCAATTTTATTCATATGACTAGAGTATATCTGGCTTAGTTAATATTGCTCTGACAAAGGGTGAATTAAAGTCTGCAACTACATTTTTCTTCATAGTACCAGTTTCTTAACAACTAAAGATAAATGAATGACTCTAGCCTTCTGTGCAAGAAAGTGGAGAAAATTCACATCATGTAGCCTGGGGGAAGAGAAGGCAGTAAGCCTGAATTCTCCTCAGTGGCTCAGTTGGGGGAGGTAGGGGCCTGTCTGAGGGCTGTGGGAGTGAATCTAATTATCACTCTCTTACTTTCATTAATAGGTTGGAGTAAGTTAACTTCTCAAAAGAGCAAGAAAGAGATATTATGGCTGAATTATTAGGCTGCCTCGACAATTTAAATATCACTTCCACAATCTCTTAATATGTCCTTTATGAGGCTGGGCAGGTGGGTGAGAAGAACATCAAATATGGAAAGGCAAAAAATAAAAGATAACACATGGCTTATTTTTAGATGGGAGGGCAAAGCACTCTGCAAAATTGGAGGAAACATTTTAATACATTTTAATCTCCATCTGCTCAGTTTAATTGGTTAGATTAGCCATCATTCTACATTAACCATCAGGTAAATTTTTGGCTGTTTTTCTACACTCCTGCAATCTTGCTTCATTCCTAGTTTGATCTGTCTGGTTTGTGGTAGACGTCAACTCAGTTGTAATCTGTGTTTTTAGTAACCAATATTTTTGTTTTCTTAGCTTCACTAGCCAAAAATCAGATGACGACTATGAAGATTATGCTTCTAATAAAACATGGGTGTTGACTCCAAAAGTTCCTGAGGGTGATGTCACTGTCATCTTTTCGACCTGATATAGGAGGTATGAGGAAGCTTTGGATCCTGTGCTGTAGAGGTGGTACACCAGCACAAGTAACTTAATTAGAATAACACATTGTTATATTTCAAGTGCCAGAATGGTTTAAATTATAATCCTATAATTTTCAACATAAAGAAAAGTTGTATAAATCGCATTCGGGCCTGGAGGTAGCAATGGTGAATCTGAAAAACTGTGAGATACTTTCCTAGATATTTCAGACTTTTTTTTTATAAAGTTGATGTTGAATTATAAAATCTTTGGATGACAAAATACTTGAGAGAAAAGAAAGAAAAGTAAAGAATAGCAGAGAGGATATTGGGTACACATAATTATGTAACAACCAGCTAAATTTCAAGTGGCATTAGCAGTAAACAGTATTTGGCACCAGAGTGAGGGATGGGATAACCTAGACTAAACCAAACTAGGTCTTATAGTCTCTCCTTCTACTACAGAATCAACAGGAGACCTGTGAGAATCCTTTTCCCTTTTTTCATGGTAATTCAAAAGAACAAGAAAGAAGGGAAAACATTATGAGGTTTACTGTTTGGGCTTAGAAGTACCATGTTCACTTCTGTCTAGATAGTATCTGTCCAAGATTCACCCACCCAAAGTCAAAGTAACCTCCCTCACAGGAAGTCAAGGGTGTAGATGTCACTGTGGATGAAGAATTCCATCTGTGACAGAGAGTTTGGGCATGGTACTTTCAAGGAAAATGAATAAAGATGAGACCAGTATGCTTGAACTGAAGCCCAGAAAGATCTTATGTATCTTCTGCTCCTTAAATGTTAAATGGAAATAGATTGCATTCATTTGATCTTGAACAGTACACCACCTATTTTTAACATTAGTTCTGTCTGTCTAACAGATTGGTGTGTGATGGGCTTCCTGATGGTTTCCTTCTACTATTTACACAGTTACATAATTCAGTAGGTCATTAGTGAAGATTTTGATTTGGGGTTGGCTGGAGATGTCTGAGGGCTAAGTGGTGATAAAAGAATCAGCAAAAGCAATGTTACATTATTGTTGTCTAGTTTGAACTTTAAATACACATTTCCCCTGTCACTCATTAATCGTGTTTCTATATACATCAATCAAGTGTGGTCAGTAAGCAAATACAGATTCTAGAGATTAGAGAGAAAAGGTGCTAAAATTCAGGCTCTCTGAGACAATACTATAGAAAAGCAACAGAAAGAACATGTTTTGATTCCTTCACTTTATATACTCTCACAAGGAAAAGCCAAAAACCTACTATACATGCTTTCTGACACAACATGATTTAAAAAATATATATATTTCTTTGAAAAAATCATTATGAAAATCTAAAGTATTAACTAGTACTAAATTAGTCCAGAATAAGTTATTTTTAATGCAGCTAACTGAGCATAGGTTAAGAAACAGACTAAACGAATACAATTTTATTCCTGGTCAAAACAAACAAGCAAACAAATATACCTGTGATTTTCTTTGCAGTGAAACCAACATTAATTCACACAGATATGTATGTGAACAGCATTGGGCCTGTGAATGCTATCAATATGGTAAGTTACATAATTTCATTTCTATTTTAGCTTAAAAATAATGAGGAATTTATTTCTTTAAAGGGAATTAAGTTTGGAAAGAAAAGACAATCCTGAGACCTGGTGTTTTTCATGTAACCTGAAGCTGTTAAAATTTTAAGGATTTTTGTTATAAAAATCAAACATGGTGAGAAATGAAATTAATGAGTTTAGTTGTGATACAATGTTGATTCAACTATCACTGTATACCTTTGCTACCCACAGCAAAATACGAAAGTTTTTAGAAGATTGATGATGTTGGAATAATACTTTGCTTCAAATCAGAAATATTTTCAGAGAAAATATTCATATCTATAATATTTTCAGCCCAAATGTAAAGTGAAAGCTATATTTGGTATATAATGTAACATTATAAGTGAATAAACTTATAGTATATTTTCATATAAATAATATAATAAAATAAAATAATGAAACATAAATGCAGTCAAAATACATAGCAGAAAAGTACTATTTCAATGCACAGCATAATATATATAACAATATAATATAGTATGGTGATCTTATTCCTGAAAATTGGAATTTGCCATGCTAGAATATATTTATTCTATACAAATATACACAGAGACACAGATGGAATGATTTAAATATTCAGTGATGTAAAACTCATATAATCATGAAAAAGATTCTCAGTTGTTACATCCTTAGTATTCTGACACAAACTCTAAATATTTAAAGACAATCTGTGAGTAACAATTTAGACTGTTCTTCCTGGCAGTGCATTGAAAGTTAGAGCTGAGCTTTGTATCAGAGTGACAGTATTGGGACCTGTCCCTTGGTTTCGCAAAATGCTTTTTTTTTTTTTTTTTTTTATACCTTTGTCTTTTCATTGCCATTTTTGGGCATTAAAGTATGTCCACAATTATTGAATTATTTTATTTCTCAGCTCATCATTAATTAGTTGAAAATAGTTTATAAAATTGGTTGTTCCTTCATTAAAAAAAACCAAAAAAAAAAAAACCTTCAAGCAGAGAAGTAAACTGTGCACAGGGAGGCAAGACATAAACACTGGAGCTGTTGCCTGCCAGTGAGCATGGTAGCAGGTGGTTCAGACAAGAATACAGAACAGTGTGGCAGCAGCAAGAGACACACATGCTCCTGTTGCATGTAGTCCTGAAAAAGCAGTTCTTCTTCTCCTGATGCCTCATGCTTTCAACATGAAATGGAGTATAGGTTGTTGGATAAGTAAAAGGGCCCTGCTGATTCTTCATATTCTAAGAACTCTAAGTTGATTTTATTTGTTCTTCTTTTCCTATTTTAAACTATTCTGATTTAAAACAAGATTTTTAAAGTAATACAAGGCACAGGGATGGCTATTTAAACCATGAGGACACTATGTAATTTATGGTATTGCATATGGTTATCAGATTTGATTCTTTGGGTTATTGATATCATGTGGTCTATGAATCAGCTGACAAGGGAGAAGCATTTGGTCAGAGGCATTACCCAGAGTAAGAACTGCTGAAGAGTCACACACATACAGACACACAGAAATAGATATATAGACACATATACACATACACATACATACAAGCACAGAGAGAGATATACAGACACAGCACACACAC